CTAACGGTGTCGGAGAAGAAGACGGAGACGCTCCTGATGCGCGCAAAGGACAAGCCGACTACAACATTACAGCCCGCCCCGCCTCCACCGCTGACCATCGAAGCCGCGGGACAGAAATACGCCCAGACGACCGAGTTCCGGTACCTCGGTGGCCTCGTCAACGAACATGGCGACCTCACCCGGGAGATCAACTACAGGAGCAGAGGAGCGTGGGCGTGCCTCAGGCGATGATATGGCCGGGAGCTCTTCGACAGACCGCAAGCGCCATTCCGACTCGAGATGCGCCTGCTCCAGGCGGAGGCGATGGAGGCACTGCTGTACGGCTGCATGACATGGTCACCACTCAGCGGCCACTATCAGACGCTGCGGTCGATACACCACCGACGGCTCCTTCGAGATATCGGGTACAAGCGCAAGAAAGGCACCTACCGGCAGCTCTCTTACGCCCAGACGCTGAAGAGGGTCGAATGCCAGCGCGTTGAAGCCACGATCCGGTAACGACGCCTACTGTTCGCGGGAGCATTGGCAAGGCAGCCGAACGGGCGACTACCGAAACGACTGATGCTCGGCGAACTGGCAGGGGGGGAGAAGCGACGTAGGGGGGGACAGGAACAGAACTGGCCGAAGTGTGTGCTCGACAACCTGAAGGCATTCGGGGCCGACCACGGATCTACGAAAGGCGATCCATGTTGTCTCGGAATCCCGGTACCGAAAAGACACGGCACCGAAGTTCAAGTGGACGGAAGCCGCGAAGGTGGAGGGGGGAGTACTCTTTGCTGAGGCAACAGCACTGTCACTGCAGTCGCTGTACAGCTATTCCTTCAGCTGTGGCTACAAAGTAGCTATCACGTGATGCGAGGTTAGGTAGGGAAACACACAGAGTGATATTATTATTCACACAGACGCCCAAGCTGTCTTCACCTGAGTTACAGACTTGGCAACGCCTTCACAATACTGCATGAACCCATGCAATAGAATAGAAACAACATATTCGCCTGATTGAGAGCGTAGCATCTGATTGAGAGCGAGATTGCGCGATACGCTGTAGCCGGACTACCACTGAGAGGTGGAGCTTGCTGTGTAGCTTGAATTGAAGGGCTAGCCCGTAGCTTCAAGCCGCTACCCTGGTCATCCTGTGGGAGTCTCTCGTTGTGGAGCTACAGCGGGGAGCAGAAGCTACAGCAGAGCCCACCGCCCGACGCGATACCGCCCTGAAACAGTTTGAGCAGAAATAGCCAATCTGGGCAAATCTAGCAACTTGTCTAGCTCCTCGCTGCAGCATCCGATGACGATGACACGCATATGCTCGCGAAGCTGCTGATGAGACCTTCAATTTGCACCGCTTCTTGGAATAGCCCGTCCCCTACTTGCCAAGAAATGGCAAGAGGCGTCTGGACCCGAAATTTCAATTTTTTTGGCTCTCGCTCTCAATCAGATACTTCGCTCTCAATCAGGCGAATATGTTGTTTAGAGTCGTTCTTGTACTGCGATTACTCCAACATGACCTCTCAAGAACTACGTCATTCTAGTACCAATGCATCAGATCCAGTTCTCAGTCCTCTAGAAACAATATCCATGTCCTCTCGAAACAATGTTATCTTCTGACTCATTATCAATTGTTCTGCCTTCCTCAGATGCGTTGCATCAGCAGCGAGTGTTTTCCTTCAACACAAATCTCCCGAATATTCTTTAAACCTATACACACACACACACCATCCAACCCTCAAGACATAAAGTCTGATTACGAAGAGGGGAGGTGATCAAACTCCTAACAGCATGCCACGGGCGCGGAGAATCCCCGACGGGTTTAGCCCTTCTGTAAAAATATCCGCTTTCTGAAGCGACGTCGATATTTGCTTCAAGACTACGACTCCATCAGCTACCAGCGACCTTACGTGATGAAACTTTGCGTCAATGTGCTTAGTCCTTGGGGTGATACGGAAGCTGCGAGTTCATTTCAGAGCTCCCGAGTGGTCCTCCCACACCACGGTCGCTTCTTCCTGAGTCTGATTTATGGTGTCCAGCAGGTGGCGGAAGTACTTGATGATGTTGCACCCCTTCGACAAAGCCACGAACTCTGCTTTAACGGAAGAGGTCGCCACCACCGTTTGCTTGCATGATGTCCATTCCACCGGTCCATTAGCGAAGTACAGGACGACTTCCGTGGTGGAGTAGCCCTTGTCTAGGTCGCCTGCAAAATCTGAGTCGACAAACGCCGTAATGACGTTTCCATCTTCGGCATCCTCGCCGTAGCGTACACCGATTGATATCGTCCCTTTCAGGTACCTGAGTACGCGCTTGAGTTTCTGCATGGCCCTCGGACCTGGTTTCGCCATACTCCGCGTCAGAACCATCACGTAGTCAGTAATGTCGGGCCTTGTGCACCTGCTGAGATACAAAGCGAGCCTGTGGAGGAGCGGAAATATGTGGTATCTGACAACAGAATTGTAGTTGCTGTTTGTTGTGTAGTTGGCAGTGGTGGCGCAGTTTGGGTAGATACAACACAGAGTGATCATTAGATCCAAAACACAGGCGCCCAAGCTGTCTTCACCTGACGGTTACAGACTTGGAGACACGCCTTCACAATACTGCACAAAACCCATGCAGTAGAATAGAGTCAGTTCTTGCATACAAATCCCAACA